ACATGAAAAGAGAAAATTCCTCTTTTATTTGAACGCTTGTCTTTCACATGATATTAAATTTACCTAATATATGAACCGTGGCGCGCATATATTTGGAATTTGTATTAAAAAAAGTAAAAAATAATAATAAAAAAAATTCATGTATTTGCTCGTGTTCATTTTTCCATATTAAGTGTTTTGAGCTTAAAAGAAATCTTTGTCGTATTTAGATACTTTTATTTCAATTTCTTTCATTTTATTTATCATTATCACACACACACACACACACACACACACACACACACACACACACACACACACACACACACACACACACACACACACACGCACACACACACACACACACACACACACACACACACACACACACACACACACACACACACACACACACACACACACACACACACATACATATATATATATATATATATATATATATATATATATATATATATATATACACATATATATAATCATTATTCATCGGAAACATCAAGATAATTCCTGTGTACAATATGCTGATTGCTTGAAATATTGGCTTGTATATATCGGTACAAAATATTTCACATATGTATTTGTGTGATTATGACTGTGGGTACATTAAGCCTTTGTTTGATCGCATTTCGGTGCGCATTTGAATATTACCTACAATGAAACGTAAACTTGTTCTCTTTGAAAGAACGGAGCAGGTGGCGTATCCAGCAACTTTGTGGAGAATGAGGAAACCAAAAATGGAAACACGAAGAATTAAAGGAAGAAAACAAAAAAGTGTGTTGGAAATGCATACTTTAATGAGGTGGTTACATGTAATGAGGAGAGAGGAGAGGGAGAGGGAGAGAGAGAGACAGAGAGAGAAACAGAGAGAAAAACAGAGAGAACAGAGAGACAGAGAGAGAGAGAGAGAAGAGAGAGAGAGAGAGAGAGAGAGAGAGAGAGAGAGAGAGAGAGAGAGAGAGAGAGAGAGAGAGAGAGAGAGAGAGAGAGAAGAGAAGGAATGGATGACGAAGAAGAGAAGAGAAGAAGAAGGAAGAGAAGAGAAGAGAAAAGAAAGAAGAAGAAAGAAAGCTGAAGAGAAAAAACAAAACAAAACAAATAAAAGAGAAGCAAACGGAGAGAAAACAAACAGAACGAAAGCCTTGAGCTAAAAGCAATGGAATGTCAGCTAGCAAGAGCCGAGAGATAAAGAGCGAGAACCAAAGAGCGGAATCCAAAGCGCGAGAACAAAAAAAAAAAAAAAAAAAAAAAAAAAAAAAAAAAAAAAAAAACAGAACAAGGAATAAGAGTCAGAGAGAGAATCAAGAACAGAGTTAAGAGCGAGAGCCAAAGAGCGCGAACCAAATAGCGAGAGCCAAAGAACGAGAGCTAAAGAGCAAGAGTCAGAGAACAAGAACCAAAGAACGAGACAAGGGACGAGAGCCAAAAACGAGAACCAAAGAACGAGAGCCAAAGAACGAGAGCCAAGAGCGAGAGAAACGAGAGCCAAAGAACGAGAAGAACGAGAGTCAAAAACGAGAACCAAAGACCAAGACAAGGGACGAGAGCCAAAGAACGAGAGCCAAAGACCGAGAGCCACAGAGCGAGAGTCAAAGAACGAGAGCCAAAGAACGAGAGCCAAAGACCAAGAGCCAAAGAACGAGAGCCAAAAACGAGAGCCAAAGAACGAGAGCCACAGACGAGAGCAAAGAACGAGAGCCAAAGAACGAGAGCCAAAGAGAGAAAAGAACGAGAGCCAAAGACCGAGAGCCACAGAGCGAGAGTCAAAGAGCCAACAGCCGCGTCCATTAATGACACCGAAAAACACACGAACTGGCTCTTGAATTTCTTAACAGGGAGCGCCGAGGAAAAATAATGAGAGAGAGAGACTGTCTTCAGATTCTTCCAGTGTCTTTGTAATTATTTCCCCGTTTTTCCATCTTCGTTTTTTGTTCTACTGCTTTGGTTATTCATTTTTTTTTTATTGGCTTATATTTTCCTTAACGAAAGAAAGATTTGTTAAAATTCTGCATTACGAAAGGGAAAGATTTAATTGTTTTTTTTTCAACAATTTTCCCGTTATTTTTGTCTATTCTGTTAGCATACTCACCCCATTTTCTTTGTTCATTCATTTTCACTTTCAAGCCAATTTGAGAAAGAATCTACTACGAGCAATTCATTTATCGAAGATGGGGAGAGACCCAGGAAGTTGATGAAAAAGGGGAGAGGGGGAACTAATAAATTTTGAGAGGAAAAGCAACTGCATTCGGTGTATATTATATCGGAGAGCCAAACGTGCGTTGTTTTATAGTAATAAGAACAATAATAATTAATAATGATAATAGCAATGATAATAACAATAATAATGATGATGACAATAGTAATAATGATAATCATAATACCGATTATACTACTAGTTTTCCTACTGCAACTATTATTAATAATAATAAAGTGAATAATGATAATGATAGTGATCATAATAATGGTAATGATAATGATCATAATAATGATAATAATAACAATGGTGATAATGATAAGGATGACAATAATGATAATATCAATAATGATAGTAATGATATTTATAATGAAAAATAATGATAATGATGATAATAATAATGATAATAATGATGGTGATGATGATGATAATGATAATGATAATAAAAGTGATAATAATAATGGTGTTGATAATAATAATAATGATAATGGTACATATAATAATGATGATTGTAATGATAATGATACAGATAATAATGATGATTGTAATGATAACAATAGTAGTAGTAATAATGATGAAAATGACAACAATAAAAATGATTATGGTTACAGCAATAATGATAATAATCATGATAGTAATAACGATAATAATAATAGCAATAATAATAACTATAATAATGATAATAAGAAGTATAAAAGGGATTACAATAACAATGCTAATAAACATTAAAATAGTAATATTAATGATGATAATAGTAATAATAGTTGTGATAATGATAACAATGATAACAATATCAATAACAATAATGAAAGTATTGATACTGATGGTGATAACAATAACAATAATGATAAGGAAGATAATGATAATGATATAGCAATAGTAAAGCTAATGATAATAATGGTAACAATAATAATAATAGCACTGGAAATAATGTTTATGATGATAATAATATCGATAGCAGCAATAATAATAATGATGATAAAAATCATGATAATGATACCAGTAATAATGATGATATTAATAATGATAAGGATGATAATGATTATGATAACAATAATACTGATGATGGTGATGCTGGTAATGATAATAGTAATGATAATGATGATAATAATATCAATAATAGTAATAGTGATAATAATATCAATAATAGTAATAGTGATAATGATAATAATAATAAGGATAATAATAATAGCAATAATAAAAAAACAATGATGCTAAGGGAAAAAATATGATAATAACGATAATAATAATGATAATATTGATAATGATTATGATAATGATAATGACGGAGATAACATCAGTAATAATAATAGCGATGATGACAATGCTGGTAATAAGATAAAACTCGTAGTATAACACACGGTTGTGATGTGTTGACAGACATCTGCCTTCAAAAATGAAGACAAAAAAAAAAAAAAAAAAAACGAAAAGAAAAAAACGCCTTTTGACATCGCGTCGTTGCCATCAAGAGTGGCCAGAAATTTACGTGCAATCAACAAAGCATAATGCTGATTGTTATTAACGTCTGCTTTTTTTAAGTGAATGATTAGGTTTCGTAAAGAGATGATTGCGAATTCAATTGCGAGATGCATCTGTTGACGATATCAACTCCTGTTACAAATTGCTTTTTTATTCATTCTTTCTGATTTTTGGGAGATATTTTCTTTCTTTCTTTTTTAAGGTGGGGGGGGGTAGGGTTATGCTGGCTGTCACGTCCTGTCTGATTTGCTTGTGTCTCGCCTCCTCTCGTGTTCTCTCGTTTTGTTCAGTTTGGCGCGGAAAGTTTCGCGAGCGAAACCAATTGAAAGGTGTGTTTTCCCCCTATATGTTGGGTATATCATATATTATATATTATATATATATATATATATATATATATATATATATATATTATATATATATATATATATATATATATATATATATATATATATATATATATATATATATATATATATATATATATATATATATATATATATATATATATATATATATATATATAATATATATAATATATATATATAATATATATATATATATATATATATATATATATATATATATATATATATATAATATATAATATATATATATATAATATATACATACATACATACACAATATATATACATACACACACATATATATATATATATATATATATATATATATATATATATATATATATATATATATACTATAATATATATAAATATATATGTATGTATATCTATCTATCTATCTGTATATTCTTTATATATATATATATATATATATATATATATATATTATATATATATATATATGTAGCTACACACATAGACAGCCAGATAGACATCGATAATAGACAGAACGGCGGATAGGTAGGTAGGGATATGAACACACAGACGAATCTACCCAAAGAAAAAACGAAAGAAAGAAGAAAGAAAGAAGAGAAGAAGAAAAAGAAAAAGTTTACCGCGAGATTCTGATCCGCTAATCCCATAACTACGTAGCGAAAAACCGCTAAAGGGAAGGAAGACAGCAACAAAATCGAGCGACCAAGCGAATGAATTTCTAGCGAAGAACACAATCGTTCATATATATGTATACACGAGGGACAAAAGGACTCATTGTATTTCACGGAATTCCAACATTTTCTTTGTGTGTCAGACCGAAAGAGCTGAAAAAAATGTAATCAGGCGCCATATCTTGAATTCCGCGTTTCTTTTTTCTTCCCGAAATCAATGGCACAAGATTTAATGCCAGTAAGAGCGTATAAAAGGAGAAAGGAGAGAGAAGCGAGAACGAGGAGGGAGGGAGGGAGAGAGAGAGAGAGAGAGAGAGAGAGAGAGAGAGAGAGAGAGAGAGAGAGAGAGAGAGAGAGAGAGAGAGAGAGAGAGAGAGAGAGAGAGAGAGAGAGAGAGAGAGAGAGAGAGAGAGAAGAGATGAAAGAGAAAAAAAGATAAATGGATTAGATAGATAGAAGAGGAGAGAGAAAGAAAGAGAAAGGGAGAGAGAAAGAGAATGAATGAAAGAGGTGAGAATAAGAAGAGGAAGGGCTAGAATGAGAGAGAGAGAAAAAATAACAGAGAGACAGAGAGATTTTGAAAAAGCGAAAACAGAAAAGAGAGAGAGAGAATCAGAAAGTCACAATAAAGAAAGAGAATCAAATGGAGGAGAAAGAATTTACAGAAAGGAGACAGGAAGGAATAGAGAACTAAAACCAACAAACAACACAAAAACAAACAAACAAAAACAAGAAAAAAACAAGGAAAACAAAAAAGCAAGAAAAAAAAAGATCGGGGATTAGATTCAAGCGGCAGCCAATGTTCTTTGTCAACAATGGCTTTGTCGGATTCGCGCCATTTGCATTTCAAAGAGAGCGCCGGCCCAAATATGTGACGCTCGGCATTTTCTGACCCGGCGGGCTCTGGGATTTACTTTCTGCGATTGGCCGCTCGCGAGAACGACCCGGCGATTGGAACGCGGGGCTTCGATAGGGCAAGGGGGGGAGGGGGAAGGTTGGGGGATTAGGGGGGGAGAGGGGAAGGTTGGGGGATTAGGTGAGGGGAAGGGGGAGGTGGGAGGGGAAGGGGAAGGGGTGAAGGAGGGGAAGAGGAAGGGGAAGGGGTGAAAGAGAGAGGAAAGGGGAAGGGGAAGGGGGAGGTAGGACAGGTGAAAGAGAGAGGGGAGGGGAAGGGGAAGGGGTGAAAGAGAGGAGGGGAAAGGGAAGGGGGCGGTAGGGGGAATGAAGGGAGAAGGGGTGAAAGAGAGAGGGGAATGGGAAAAGGGAGGGGGGGAGGGGTTGGAGGTACGTCATGTGAATGATCTAAAGCGTGAGGGTGGGTTTGGGGGTAGATGAACCAGAGGGGAGAGGAAAAGGAAAAGGAGAGGAGAAAAAGAGAGAGAGAGAGAGAAAAGACAGAGGGGAAAGAGAAGAGAGGGAGATTGTGAAAAAGGGCAAAGGAGATGGTGGGAAGAGAATCGGCGATGGACCGGAAGTGGAAGAGGGAAGGGGTGGAAGGGTGGGAAAAAGGGAAAGAAAGGGGAGGAAAGGAGGTTAAGGAGTGAGGTTGAGAAGGGTTTGGCTTGCGAAGGGAGGTGGTGGAAAGGGAGGTGGGGGAGGGAGGGGAGGGGGTGGTGGAAGGGAGGTGGGGGAGGGAGGGGAGGAGGTGGTGGAGAGGGAGGTGGGGGAGGGAGGGGGGAGGAGGTGGTGGAAGGGAGGTGGGGAGGGAGGGGAGGAGGTGGTGGTGGGAGGTGGGGGAGGGAAGGGGGGGAGGTGGTGGAAGGGAGGTGGAGGGAAGGGAGGTGGTGGAAGGGAGGTAGAAGGAGGGGAGGAGGGTGGTGTAGGGGGGGGGGGGGTAGGGGTAGGAGGTTGGTGGTAGGGAAGGTGGGGGGAGGAGGGGAGGAGGTGGTGGTAGGGAGGTGGGGGAGGGAGGAGGAGGAGGTGGTGGAAGGCGGTAGGGGAGGGTAGAAGGAGGTGGTGGTAGGGAGGTGGGGGGAGGGAGGGGAGGAGGTGGTGGTAGGGAGGTGGGGGAGGGGAGGGGAGGAGTTGGTGGTCGGCGAGTGGGGAGGGAGGGGAGGAGGTGGGTGATTAAGGGAGGTAGGGGGAGGGTAGGAAGGAAGGTAGTTGTGGAGGGAGGGTGGGGAGGGAGGGGAGGAGGTGTGGGTAGGGAGGTGTGGGAGGAGGGAAAAAGAAGGTGGTGGAAGGGAGGTGGGGGGAGGGAGGGGAGGAGGTGGTGGTAAAGAGAGGTGGGGGGAGGGAGGGGAGGAGGTGGTGGAAGGGAGGTGGGGGAGGGAGGGAGGAGGTGGTGGTAGGGAGTTGGGGGAGGGAGGGGAGGAGGTGGTGAAGGCAGGATTAGGGGAAGGGAGGGGGAGGAGGTGGTGGTAATTGGGGGTAGGCGGAGATGGATGGGGGGGGGAGGAGGAGGGGCGAGGTGGTGGAAAGGAGGTGGGGGATAGGGGCGGGAGAGGTGTGGTAGGGAGAGGTTGGGGGGAACATGAAGGAGGGGGAGGAGGTGGTGAAGGGAGGGAAGGAAAGTAAAGTAATGGGAAGTAGTGGAAAGGTAAGTATGGGCGGGAGGGATGGTTAGAAACAGGGGGAGGGAGGTTGGGCAGGAGATTTGGCGATGGTGAAGGATAGTAGGGGAAAGAGAGTTGGGGGAGGAAGGCGTTAAAGAGAAGGCAACAGGATATTAGAAGATGGACGTGGGGGGGGGGGAGGAAGTGCGGTCAGGGAATACATCATTAAGTGAGGGAGGAGGGTGGGGCAGAGGGAGGGAGATGGGGGGCGAGGAGAGGGAGGAGGAGAGGGGGAAGAGGAGGGGTGTGGAGAAAGGAAGAGGGAGGAGGGGGAGAAGAGAGATTAGAGGAAGTAGGGAGGAGGGGTAAGAGAAGTAGACAGTAGTTAGACGAGGAGAGGTCTAGGGGGGGAGAGGGGTGGGAAGGAAAGCAGAAAGAGTGGCGGAGGAGGGCAAGGAGGGAGAAAGGAGGAGGGGAGGGGAGAAAATATAGAAGGGGAATGTTAAAGAAGAACATGAAGAGGAAAAGAAACTAAATGAGACAAAAGTGACAGGGATGGGTAAAAGAAATATGAGAAAGAGGGAGAAAAGGGGAGGAGATGGGAAAAGAGAAAGGAGAAGATGAGACAGTTTCATTGTATTTATAAGAATGTACTGCGCCATCTCGGGGGTTTTATTACTCTTCGTGTCGGTGCCAAATCATGTTAAAATGGCGGATGGTTTTCATCGTAAAAATTCCCCGAGAGCAACGAAATTGTAGTGGATTAGATATACCGTTTTTTCTCCCTCTTTCTTTCCACCCGGTCTGTCCCGGAATTTCATATTTCACAATAGGAAGCAACCAACAACTCCTCCTTCACCGAAAGCCAAGACAAAAAAAAAAAAAAAAAAGAGAGAGAGAGAGAGAGAGAAGAGAGAGGAGAGGAGAGAGGAGAGAGAGAGAGAGAGAGAGAGAGAGGAGAGAGAGATGAGAGGGAGAGAGAGAGAGTAGAGAGAGAGAGAGGATAACTAACAGGATAGAGAAATCGAAGAAAAAAAGAAACGAACAAAAGGCAAATTATTAAAAAAAAGTGACAAACAACACAAAACAAAAACAAAGGACAAAACATCAACAAAATCAGCACGCAAAATCTACCCCCTTGAAGTCGTCAGCACCGGTCACAGCTGACGAAACGAATGACCTGGCAGCGTGCTGACAAGAGGCCCGTTATAATAAGTCAGCGCTTATGGAGCGTGCCGCACGTGGGAAGTACGGTTGAGTATATTTAAACCATCAGGCCTAAATTATCTCTGATTGAGCGACACGGTTTTTTCGCTTAGTAAGAGGACGGATTTGATAATAGGTCAGTGAATGGCAGAGAGAGGAGAGAGGGAGGTGAGGAGTGGTAGGGGGGAGGGAGAGGAGAGAGGAGAAGAGAGAGAGAGAGAGAGAGTAAGAAGATTGAGAGAGAGAGAGAGTGAGAGAGTGAGTGAGTAGGAGAGTGGAGAGAGAGAGTAGATGTGAGAGATTGGAGGGAAAGACGGAGCTGAGAGAGTGACGAGAGAGAGAGATGAATGTTATTAGGAGGGACCGATTAGGTGGAGGGAGGGAGGAGGGAAGGGAAGGAAGAAGAGAGAGAGAAAGAGAGAGAGAGGGAGGGAGGAGATGAGGGAGGAGAGAGAGGGAAAGAGAAGGAGAAGTAAGAAAAGAGAGAAGAGTGAGAGGAGGGAGGGAGGGAGGGAGGGAGGAGGGAGAATTAGGGGGGAGGTGAGAAGAAGAGAAGAGAGAGTGGAGAAGAGAGGAGAGAGGAGAAAGAGCAGAGACGAGATGAGAGAGCAGAGAGAGAGAGAGGAGAGAG